TTCCTAAGTACAAGCATCCTATTTACTTTCTAATACATCTAATAATTATTCAAATCTAACTAATCCTAACTAAATACTAACTCTTAACCTCATTTAAATATAAGATAAATATATAACTCTTATCTAATATTTTTTGCAATTCAAATGTTTCTTATCCTATCTGCAGTGCCTTTGCGTGTAACTTTGCCATCTTCTGTAATTTTGCTACGTCATTCAACCAACCACCATCCATGTGATGTGTAAAGCCCAACATCTTAACTGCATTGCACCATCCCAGCCGAAAACCAAATCATTTGCTTACCAACATACCTCCTAGCCCAACCTCATTGCCACATGTTTCAGCCCATTATATTCTCTCGGCCCAATACTTCACTGCTCATCAACTCCAATTAGGGCCAGAACCCAATTACCAAAACGGGCGCCAAGGGCATTTGGTTTTCATGACTGGGCCGAAGATGGGTTGACAATCCAAATACCAAAATGGGTGTCAACAATGCCCCCCAATTTTGGTAGCCGTTTTAACCCTTCGGCTTCCAAAATTCAAATACACCCATTGCATCATAACTCTGTATTTATCTAATAACCCTATCAGCTTTATCTTAATTCACTTCCCAAAACATATCGATTATGATGACCATCTTATCACTCATTAATTATCGCCGTAATCACATATCTTCAACCACACACGGCTTTTCCATAACCTATAACCTTCTGCAGACTCTTTTTTCTACCAAAACCCCTTCTTCTCCAATCTTCTCTCTGACGAAACCTTTTCTGCAACATGACTTCAAAACCAATGAAACAAACTGATCTAAATTTGGAAAACCCTTTTTCCAGAAGCAACATCGCATACCCAACTAACAAAATCAGTGATCAAAACCCTAGATCAAAGCGAACTGAATTCCAATACGTTGATCAATATCTCTGAAAACATTAAGGGACTTGGCCCAGCGTTTGTTACTCGATTTTCCCATTCCTTATCTTCAATTTATCCACAAGCGAAACCTCATCTTCCTTATTCCAAAACTCTTTGTCTAATAGCGGAAGGAGACCGACCAACTCTCTCTGTTAGAAATTGGCATCCATCAATGCTCCAATGGAACGATTGGGTGAATCGCGTGTCAGCAGCAAAAGGAGAGCAGTGGAAAAAGATAGGTATCTTTGACCTCATTTAGCTAAGTAAGATTCCCTTCTCCTTTGACCGAGCATTATTTTTTGCCTCTTTGCACTTTTGGTCCCCCACAACTAATTCACTACACTTGCACTGTGGCATGATGGCCCTTCCCTAAAGGACATCTGCTTTCTAACAAGTTTAAAACCTGGAGGGGATGAAATCAATTATCTCCTCTAGGATGAAGAAACCTCCTTTTACTTCCCAGAACAAAAAGGGCTAAACCCTTTGTGCAATCACATGGACCATTCTTGAAAGAAATGTTAGGAGAAGAAGAGACTGACGTAGATGAACAAGAACACATAGGATTTTTACTACTGTGGCTGTGTAGATATTTGTTGTGTGCTCCTGCTATCCAGATTACCAAGGACCTTACCCAATTGGTTATCGCATTATCTAAAGGGAAACCCATGGCTTTAGCTCCATTCCTGTTAACGTCCTTGTATAGAGGCTTATCCGACCTTATTACTTCCAACTTTGCAAGATCTGGAGTTCCATTCTGGCTATATCAGTTCTGGCTACATGCATATTTCCCTGAGTTATCCTCTCCCATTCTGCCTGCTCCAAATGATCCTTTGTTATCATTTGGATATGCTAGAGTCAAACCCAAAGACCATTCCTTTAATGATTGTTTTCAATTCTTCTATCATCAGTGCAAGATCATGACTCAATCCCAATTCCTTCCTTTCTCCAAATGTCAACTAGCTCCATCTTAGTTGTTTCCCCCTACTGTCGAGTCTCCTCCTGAACAGATTGACCTTTATATCACTTCATAGGGCCACTTTTTGATTGCAAGAGATATACCTTGTAATACCGTTGCTCCCAATTTGCCCAAGAGCCGAACTGGGGTTGAGTTTTATAACCCAACGCAATTAGCTCAGCAATTTGGATTGACGCAGATGATCCCATTACCTCCCCATTTTTCTTACAACAAGAACTATCATCGGCGAGTAAAGCTTTCCAGCAGTGAACAAGTTCAAGATGTGTCTAATGGATTCACTCAACTTCTTCAAGGGTTTCAATATAAACCCTTCCTTGAAGAACTGAGTACTGACCCAAAGTTTGAGGATAGGTGGACATCCTACATCACTTTTACCAGGACCGTGGATTCCAGTCAGCTTGTGTGCACTCTCCTTAGCTCCTACAAGTTCATTTCCCTTAACTTTCAAGGTTTGGATTCCATTGAACCATAGCCCTCTCTATTGCTCCTGAACCAGAAAAAATAACTAGTGCAGCACCAACTCATCCTCCTCCCATAGCTCCTGCAGGTAGGACTAGATCTCGCTCTCAGCAAAGTAAGTTTTATATATCCTCATCTTTTCCATAGAACTTCTATTTGGTTTATATGCTCACTAATCATAAATCCAGGTACTCATTCCAATGCCCCAGAGAAATCCACCAAATCTAAAGAAACTCAAGTCGATTTTTATATCACTCTTCAAAGCATACCTCCATCCTCAGTTATTAAGGTAACACCCATAACTAAACCATATATTTATTCTTTTGAGGCGTACCCCTTCTCTTGCTAACACTTTCTGTCAGAAAACAACAAAAAAGAAAACGGTGGGGAAAAAACCTTAAAAGTCACGAGCCAAAAGACACTTCGAACTGATTGATGATGATGATGAGGATGACGAAGAAGTTATAACCAAGAAAAGGAAATCTGTTGCTGCCTCTCCCAGTGTAATCTCTTTTTTGCCTGATCTCGTATATTACCTTTTTCTCCTTATAATATAACTTAGACGGCATTGTTTTCAGGAAACTCCACTCTCTTCAGAACAAAAATCAATTCAAGAAATTTTTACAGACCATGCTGGAGAAGAAGAAAAGATCGAGTTATCAGTTGGTCAGAAACAAAGGTCCCCTATGCCTTCTCCACCCTTGGCTGCAAAATCAATTCATAAACAGGTCGGAGATTCTAATGAAGTAAGTAATGATATATGTATATATACATTTCTTTTACAACCTATTCTTGTAAACTTATTATAGCTATAGCATATTTTAGGTACAACAAGGCTCGGCTATTCAAACCAATCCTATCAGTACCAACCCAAGCTCTCCCTTTACAACCCTTGACTTGTTATTTGATTCTGTCTTTGACTCACCTGATCTTGACCTTCCTGAAATTCCACCTGAACAAACCTCTGACACACCCTCAGAAGTTACAAAAGCCATCCAAATCCTGTCCCAAATGGTACAACAAGACTTGTCTCTAGCCCCTTCATTCAAAAATGAGTTAACTGAAACCTTGTCCTTCTTGAGTAGTTACCCAGGATTCTCTTTAGGTGACCAAGTTCTCTTCAAGAACTTCCACCTTCAAGTCCCTTCTATGATGACTGCTTATGCCGAGTCTACTCAAACCCTCAACCATTATGTTGCTCAAACCCAAGAGAAAGAACTGCTTGCTCGATCTTTGAAGAATGGAAAAGAATTACACTTGTCATTGAAGAAAGAAGCTGCTGAACTGGATGCACGGGAGAAAAGACTTCAAGCACAACTAGCTCAGCTTCAAAAAGACAAATCACAACACAGTAACAAAGTGGCAGAACTAAAGAAAGAAACAGAAGTTGCTACCCCAAGGTTCAAAGCACTCCAGACTCAAATGCCAAAGTTGGAGCAGTCCAAGAAGCAAGCAGAGGCTAAGCTTGATCAAACCAGGGTATCATGGGCAAGTTTCAAAGCCTATTTTGAAGAATTTCAATAGAACTTTAACCAACCTTGAATTTTTATTCTCTCATGACAACTATTATGGATTTGTAATGTGATTTTCAAACAATTTACATCTTTTGGGAAGTAATGTGGTTTTCTTTGAACAATCTAGTTATCACATTATATCAATGCTACTACTTATTCATTACAAGAACAAATTTTATCTCTACATACCTTGCATAAAATACAATCCACACTATCTTGACTTACTGGAATTTTTCTTTTCTTCCATGAGCTCAAAAATAGTTGGCTTATATTTTTTAAGGTATCTTCCATTTATTGGTCTCTGATGGATTTCACCATCTAAATCTTTTAACCTGTAAGCGCCTCCATGCAATACTTGATGAACCAAATATGGACCCTTCCAAGTAGGTGACCACTTGCCATAGACCTTATCCACCTTTCCAGGTGGAAGAACTGTTTGCCAAACCATATCGCCCTCTGCAAATGACTTGAACTTCACCCTTTTATTGTAAGCCCTCATTACTTTTGCTTTATGAACCATAAGGTGATCCAAAGCAAGTTTCTGGACTTCATCTAAATCTTCCAACTCGACAAGCATAGCTTCGTTATAATCGGCAAGTATGAGATTATGTTGCAAGGTAACCCTTGCCGATTTTACGTTTAACTCCATCGGCAACACTGCATCATGACCAAACGTTAACCGATATGGAGTTGTCCCTGTACTTGTTCTTTTTGAGTTTCTATAGGCCCATAAGGCTTCTGAAAGGGCTTCATGCCAACGCCTCGGCTTGTCTTTTATCATCTTTTCAATAATTTCAATCACAACTTTATTTGACGCTTCGGCTTGGCCATTCCCTTAAGCATAATAAGGTGTTGAGGTAACCATTTTCACTTGCATATCAATGCCGAGTTGTAATATTTCATTTGCTCGAAAAACAAATCCATTATCGGCAACAATTGTTTCCGGTAATCTAAATCGGTGAAAGATATGTCGCTCCAAAAACTGTATAATGGTATTATGAGTTACCAATACATATTCCTCGGCTTCTACCCATTTAGTAAAGTAATCGGTAGCTAGAATAATCCAATGATGGCCCTTTGATGAAGGAGGATTAATCTTACCGATTAGATCCATAGCCCAACCTCTGAAAGACTATTATTTAACTAATAATTGCATTTCTATTGCTGGGACCCACTGCATAGGACCATATTTTTGACAATCTATACATCTTTTTGCATAAGTCATGCAATCGTTCCTCATTCCAGGCCAATAATATCCATATCGGCGTATCAACCATCTCATTTTGATGTCAGCTTGGTGAGCTCCACATATCCCCTCATGTACCTCAGCCATAATCTTCAAACCTTCAAACTTACTAATACATTGAAATAACAAACCATTATCAGCCGATCTTCTATAAAGATCACCATACATAAACATATAATCGACTGCACTTCTTTTAATTCTTCGATCGGCTTCAGGAGTTGGATGTTGCAAGAACAAGATGTAAGGAATTCGCCAATCATCATCATCCAATTCGGCAACATCAATGTCAAAGACTTCTTCCATAATTTGATTTCCTGTTTCAGCTGATAGAAGAGATCGGCGTGTAATCTTCATTACTCTTTCCATCATACCACTCGGCACCCTAACTCCAGAACCAGTCTGTGCCAAATCATTAGCCATTTTATTCATGGCTCTCGGTCTGTATTCCAAAGTCACATTATGAAATTGGTTAACTAATTGGGTTGCCAATGAATGGAATGGTCTTAATTTCCAATTCAAACATCTAAAGTCTTCTGAGATTTGATTAATCACTAAACTCGAATCTTCCACAATGTGGACATCTTTGAATGTCATTTCCAACAGAATTTCCAAGCCGATAATTAATGCTTCATACTCGGCTTGATTATTTGAACACCTAAAATCCAAAAAGAAAGAAAACAAAATTTGATTCCCTGTTGGGGATATTATCACTATACCAGCTCCCGAGCCTTCACTGGTACTAAACCCGTCGAACATTAAAGTCCATGGAGTCATGAATATGGATGCCGAGTCAAGCTCATCAAATACTTGTGACTCAATTTCAGGTGAGGGATGATCGGCAAGAAAATCTGCCAATGCTCTTCCCTTAATTACCTTTTGTGGAACATATGCAAAGTTGAATTCCATTAATGCCAAAGCCCACTTGCCAATCTGGCCTGTGATTAATGGCCTTGATAGCATATACTTTATAAGATCGGTTTGACAAACAATATTCACCAAAATGGGCATCATATAGACTCTTAATTTCATTGCTGCAAAATACAATGCTAAACATAATTTATCAATTGGTGTATATCTATACTTGACTGGAGTTAGAACTCAACTGAGATAATATATTACTTGTTCACTTCCTGCTTCATTTTCTTGTGCTAACATAGCTCCAATGGATTCTTCAGCAGCCGATAAATATAACTTCATTGGCCATTTCTTCCTTGGAGGCATCATGACAGGAGGACTCGACAAGTATTTCTTAATCTGGTCAAATGCCCTTTGATGTGTATCATCCCATTTGAATTCTTCCATCGGCTTTAACTTGAGTAGCGAGGAAAACACATGCAATTTCTCAGCTGTATTAGCAATAAATCTCCTAAGATAATTCACTTGCCCGAGTAACCTCTACAACTGTTTCTTGCTTCTTGGCGCACTAGCATCAATAATCGCCTTAGCTTTATTCCTATCGATCTCTATACCCCTTTGATGAACCAAGAAACCCAAAAAGTTTCCTGCCGATACTCCAAAGGCACACTTTATTGGATTCATTTTTAGCTTATGAGCCCTCATCCTCTCAAAAGATGCTTTGAGGTGGACTAAGTGCTCTTTCTTTGTTACTGACTTTACCACCACATCATTAATATACACCTCCATAAACTTGCCGAGCATATCATGAAAAATAGAATTCATGGCTCGCTGATACGTGGCACCAGCATTCTTCAACCCAAAAGGCATTACCACCCATTCGAAAGTTCCAATTGATCCAAGACACTTAAAAGCTGTCTTTGGAATATCTTCCTCGGCTATGTAAATCTGATTATAACCTGAGTGTCCATCCATAAAAGACATAATTTGGTGCTTTGCAGCTGCATCAATCAGCTGATCAGCTATCGGCATTGGATACTCATCTTTTGGAGTTGCCAAATTTATGTTTCGGAAATTAACACATATACGTAATTTTCCATTTTTCTTGATAACAGAAACTACATTTGATAACCACTCAAGATACCTTGTGGTTTGAATGAAGACAGCATCTAACAATCGTTCGATTTTTACTTTGACTTTATCTACCACCTCTTGAGACATTCGACGAGGTGGCTGTTTATATGGCTTATAACCATCTTTAATGGGCAGCCGATGTTCCACCAGATCTCTGGACAAACCTGGCATTTCCTCATAATTCCAAGCAAAATAGTCACTGTATTGCTTTAACATACCGATAACTTTAGCTTGTAATTCTGGTTCTAATAGTGCACTAATATAAGTAGGTCTAGGCTCTGTGTCAGTACCTAAATTCACCTCCTTTAATGGATCCTGAGTTTCTGCTTTAAGATCATCGAGCTTAGCTGGTGCTAATTCTAAGTCTTCTAACTGTATCGCATCCAACTTCTCAATATTGAACCGATCGATCTCGGTAAAATTAATCGATGCTCCTGGCTCCATTATTACTTCTTTTTCTAGTCGTTTTTTAGCTATGTACGCTTGAAGCCTAATGCAAGCGGCCCCTAAAGGTCTGCTGCCGAGCAGCTTCCCTTTCAAGTTTCGCTTCCATCAATAACTTCTTCAATTATAGTAAGCCAAGGGAATTCTACCTTCGGATTGGAATTCTCCTGCTGCAACTCACCAATTTCACGATCGGCAAGACTTCTTCTCATGGTTGCCGAGGTTGGTCTTCCATCTGCTCCTGTTCCCACAGACCAGATAGGAACACATTCTTTGTCATATAAAACAGCATCTGCCGAATACACTTTTGCCACAAATGGCTTATCATCGGCATTTACTATTTTTATTTTATCTCCATCCCAAAAAATCAGCATCTAGTGTAATGATGATGGGATGCACATATTTGGATGAATCCAATCACGGCCTAATAAAAAATTATAGGAAGCCGTGGATTCAATAATAAAAAATGCTGCAAAAGACATCATACTTCCAACTTCTACTTCTAAAGGAAGTATCCCTTTACTGCTGGTAGAACCTCCGTTGAAACCACAAATTACTACATCAGTAGGAATAACATCTTCCATACTCTTGCCGAGTTTCTTCAATGTGTTTGCTGGAATAAAATTCAAAATCGAGCCATTGTCTACCAAGACTCGATTAATAGGTTGACCTTCTACCCACACCTTAGCATACAAAGGCCTGAGCTGTTGAGTCATTGCTAACAAAGGTTTTTCAAAAACCACCTTCTCTGCCAATTCTGAGGAAATAATTGATAAATTCTGAATCGGCTGAGTTTCCTTCTCATTCTTCTCAGTATTTGCATTTGATGCCGATAGAGCCTGGAACATTGCTGGTAATACAAATGCCATGTTACATGATATCTCATCTGGAAAACTGCCAAACTGAATTCTGAATTCATTGTTACGTCTGGGCCACGTTGGCTGATGTTCCTCATCTTCTTCATTTTTATCTGGAATGTCGATTTTCTTTGCTTGTAATACTTCAGCTTTCCTTTTTCCCTCAGCTCTTCTCCTTTTTTCTCTACGCTTCTGAGATCGAGTGAGGCCCCCATTCTGAGATTGTTGAGCTTTAGGGAACTTTGGATGATTAACTTGAGTCCATCTATCTTCAGTCGAGTCTATCCTTGGTTTCACAATTCATACTCTATATGAATTGGCTCCTTTCTGTACCCAAATCTCTGATTGAACTGGTGACTGCCTCTTAAAATTGGGATACCTATTTTGGGAATGAAACCGGCTAGATATATCACCTTGCTGATTTGGCCTTCCTGCTTTCAAATGGCTGTTGCTGGAATCACCTTGCCGAGGCTCCTCCCCAGGCTTCAATGGGAAAATAAGCCTTTCAAGAATTCCTTTTTTCTTTGGTTGAACCTCCATTGGCACATCTTCCCTTGGTTGTTGCTTTCCTTTGTAATTTAGGCAATAACCATTATCAATCAAGGCTAATTAAGCCTCCCTTAATTGCTTCTGCAATTCTGCCATCTTTTCAGGTGTCGCAGTTGATGAAAGGAACTCACTAGATATCTTTTCTGCCTCCTGCCGATTTTCTCGCTTGGCTAAGCTTATCACATTTGTAGATGTGATTGTTGGAAATGGATTAGTATCCACCTTCATAGTCTCTGAAGTTTTCTCCGGGAATTTTAAAGTGCCTTCGTCAATAGCTTTCTGCAATACACCTCGTAGAACAGTACAATCATTAGTAGCATGGTACCAAGAGTTATGATACTTACAATACTCTTTTCCCTTCAAGTCACTTACCTATGGAATCCTATGCCTTTTAGGCAAAGATATCATTTTATCGGCCATCAAGTGATCAAAAATTTGATCTGTTTTTGACAAGTCGAAAGAATAACTTTTCTCGGTATCTGCAGGACCTTTCCTTGTTGCTGTTGTTGACATTGATGAATTGCCCCCCGTGGTCAGTTTAGGTTTAACCAACGCCTAACAAACGTATGGCTTTTTGATATTAACCTCTGCGACGTCAACTTCTAATTCATCTCCAACTTCTGTTGAGAATACCTCATTATTAGGGTCCTTGTACCAAGTACCCTTAAAAGAATTTTTCCTCTCTTTCTCTTCTTTTAGTATTTTCTCATACCGAGAAGCCCTGTCTACCAAATCAAAGAGATCTTGAAACTCGACCCCATTAAACCTCTTGCGATGTTCAATATCTAAACCATTTAATGCCAACTTGATGTATTATGGTTCTGGCAAACTTACTCGGCATTTAAGTTTAACCTTTCTGAACTTGGCAACAAAAGTCTCAACCGATTCACTTGGCAACTGAGATAATCGAGATATGTCTGCCAGTGTAGCTTCTGTCTCTGTTCGGTAGAATTGGGTATGGAATGCTTCCTCTATCTTATCCCAAGTCTGAATAGAATTAGCCGGTAAGTTGCTGTACCATTCAAAAGCTGCCCTAGCAAGAGAGCTAGAGAATAACCTCATCCTTAACCAAGGGCTAGGACCAGCTTCTCCACATTGTGCAGTGAACCTTGCAATATGCTGTACTGTAGAGAAGTTTTCTTCACCACTGTACATAGAAAAATCAGGATACCGATAATTTCTAGGCAACTCATGGGCATCAACGTGATCAGGATAGGGCTTTCTGTATACCGGCTGAGCACGTCTGCGACCTTGTACTACCTCGGCCTGTATTAAAGCCAAAATCTGAGCCCTATCAATCCCTGCATTTCTTTCTAAAGGATCATTTGGGTGCCGCGGAATGAATTGATTAACTCACTCCCTTTGTGGATCGGTATTCACTTGCCCCCGAGCAGCCGTTATAGGTATCAATGGATTGACCCTACCTTGGTTTAGATGGCAGACACCTTCTTACTGATTTCTTACTGGTGGAATCAGCTACTCATTGGAATGCTGCGTAAGCTGATCATTCATTAATGGCTGGAACACCAGCACAGGATTCACCACCAACGGATTTGATAAAATTAGCGGATTTCCCATTGGCATGCCAAGTGTATGATTCGACATGTTACTGATCATAACACCAAGTCCTGCATTTGGCAGTATGGTGCTTGTTCGAGGTCCTTGGGATATATGAACCAATGGTGCCATCAAACGCTGAAATATGGACTCATTGACGTGAGACGCTTCAGCCTGATCTTGTCGGCTTTGATTCGCCAGTACATTGGTTTCAAGTTTCTGACTCATCTTTTCCAACTGAGTGTACATCATTTAGTTTAACTCCCCTATCATCGATCTCATCTCATGAATTTGAGAAACCAAAAGCTAATTTGATTATCCCATTTGAGACCTTACCTCGCCGATCTGTGCTTGCTGGGCATCAATTTTTTGCATAATTGATTCCAATACCCGACTCAAAGGGACGTCGGATGGAATAGATGAGTCGGCATCATCACCTACGCCGATCTGTGGATTTTCTTCGTCAGTATTATCTCTTGTATTCACGCCTTTCGAACCTCTTAGCTTTGAAGACATCTTTACTATAACTTGCTCACCTGATGGGGTCCCACCGGGCGTGCCAAAAATGTTGACCCTAAAATCGGCTGAATGGAGCCGATCTCAAATTGATGTAAGCCAGGCATGCCAGAACCACTTGTGTGGTTCGATTGTAAATAGTCAACGTTAGTCCCTTTGAGAAAGTTGACTTTCAGACGATGCGAAGAAAAAGGGAACAAATAAATTCCTCTTTTGGGTTCAAAAATGCCTTAGTTAAAAGGAATTTCTATAAACAAATTATAGTAATGTAACAAAAGAATAGAAAGGAGAGATGATGGATATAGCAAGAAAAGAAAAGGAAAGAATGAAGAGAAAGGATGAGAGAGAGATTGAGATTGAGATAGATAGATAGAGATAAAGAAGAAATAG